CGGACAACAAAGCACTTTTGTTGCTTGGCTAATGCTCTTATTACTAACATTTGGACAGGTTATAAATGGATTCATAATTTAATTTAAGTCAAAATGAGTTGAATCAACTTAGGGAGGGAAAAAAAAAATCATGTTTTGTTAAGTTCTTGCTAATCAATTTAAGTTACGTAAAGTCCTAAATGTGCCAAATTAATCCAAAATTCTAAATAATTTAACTTGGTTGTATAGAAGTCGGCTCAGCAATGTATTTAACAAATCTAAAATTTGACCAATTGGACTAATTATACATATTTGAACAAAATTTGATAAGTTTTAGCAGAGTAAAATACATTACTTGATTTATATTTAGAAGCATATAATTAGATCTAGTTATTCAAAAAATCGAATGTATTACTAAAATTAATAATATAATAATATTAGTGGGAATCTTCTATTCAATAATTACTCCCTCCGTCCCTTTTTAGTTGTCCACTTTAGAAATGGCACACAGATTAAGGCAACAATGATTAGCACAGTAAAGTTACAATTTTACCCTTATGACAACTTTTCACTTCAAAATTACAACCACTTATTTGAATTCAAGTGAAATAAATTGGAGGGAAACAACATACACTTTTACAATTTTCAAGAAGTGTAAATAAGGGTATAATAGGAAAAAATTTGTTGTCCTTTCTTGATTTGTCAAAATGGACAACTAAATAGGGACAATTAAAAAAGGAAATATGAACAAGTAAATAGGGACGGAGGGAGTACTAAATAAGAACCCCGAATCTACTTTATAGGAGCATTAGTTGACTATGTTAGTTTGATTTCGGGGGTGGGGACTCACTATAGGATGTGTTTGGTCTTTTAATTATTTTCTTTCATAGTTATTCAAAGATTTTAAAAAATATGTTTTTTTACTTTAAAATAAATTTACATCTCCTCTACACCCTCCAAATCACCCTACTATATCCCACATTCCCACTACACTACTTTACCTCCATACACATGGTGTTTGCCTCAATTATTCACTAGTAATTTTTTTTAAAATAATATTTTCTACCTGTGTACTTATTCTGTTTCAAAATGATTAGTACTTTTAGCTTGAATACACCTCTTAAAAAACTACTCAATCCTAAACAATAAAAATATATTTTTACAACTTATCCTTAATTAAAGAAAAAATATTATAATTAATCTTTGTTATGTAAACAAGGATATTTTTGAAAGGATAAGATCAATCGCGACTTAATTTGATACAAAATGAAAGGACTAAAACGTCACTTATTGTCGAACGAAGGAGATATCAAATACAAGAAATAAATAATAAAAAATATTTTCATATAAAACATTTCACTTTGTACCAAACACACCCTTAGAGATAGTTTGATAGGTTATTAGAGTTATGCAGTTATGAATCGTTTGGTAGTTATTCATGTATTAATTTTCATATAACTAGGATGTTTGGTTGATAATATAGAAATTCATATAACTACAATAATTTATAGATTTTCTCACAACTTATATATGTATAATGTATTAGTTATGTGAGTTTTAAAATTGTCAATTAAATGACTTATTTCTTGCCTGTCTAGTGTCTACCAAATATTCGTAAATCACACAAAAATAAAATACATGAATAATTTATTTTTTATCCGACTAGCAAACGACCATGTGTGTCAAATTTTC